TTCGCTAGAGAGCTGAAACTTTCAGAAATAAAAGATCTTGAGTTGATATATATATGTGGTAAAAATTTCAGCTCTCTATATCAATAAAAAGTATGAAAAATACGATTAACAATTTATTATAGGATACTCTATATGTGTGAAGTGTTTCTAAAAAACGACTTGGATCTCTATACTTTTCATGAGTAAAGAGATTTTAATTGTTACCTCAGACCATTTTCGACGATGTTACGTTTAACTGACCTATTAAAATTAGGAATAAAAATTTTTTTCCTGAAAGTGGTAGGAACTCCATGGAGTCACCCAATAGACAGCTACTTTCATCATTTGAAATCAAGCTCGATCAAAAGATGCTTCTTTCTAGGAATACTAATTACATATTCTACTAAGGTCGTGTTGATTGACAATAAGAAGCAAATAACGTATTTCTGTCTCAAATCAAATCACTAAAAAACAAAAACAGACAACAGATTAAAAAACAACGTAGTAAAACAAACAGCACGATTCAAAATTTCGAATAATATCGCTCGAAAACAGAGGCAAATATGAGTAAGGAGCAGCCATAAATATCCATGAGCACTCGCATCCACACCATCATTCTCATGTCCATCATCGGAAGTGTCAGTTTCGAAGTAGTTCATATCATCAAAAGAGATTACAATGCATTCGCCTTTGTTGTAGAGCAATGATCGAATGTTGTGCTCCTTGATCACGGATTTGATTCCCCGTAAGCTTCACTGTAGTTAGTGTCTTCTTAGAAGAAGCAATGACTCACACATGGACAATGTGAGGATATCACTTGGTTTTGTTCAAGAGCTTTCTCGAGATGTTGTGCTCCTTGATCACTAATTCGATTATAACTCAAGTTCAGTGTGGTTAGTGTCTATGTGTGGGAAAAAAACTGGAATGATGGAAGAGTTTGCAAAGGAATATTGCAATAGCGTCTATAGTCGTTAGTGTTCGCTTCAATTTGGAAACTTTTTATTTAGTTCACCGACAACTGAATACTTTTTTTTGAGAAAACAAACACTGGAGTATAGTGGCAAGTATATAAATTTTTGTAGTGTGTGTAAATTGTTTTCGTATTGTCGTAGGACCCATGATGAAGATTTCGGAGCTATGAAAAGAATGATGAGCTCCAGTATTGGCTTAAAAGTTTTGGAATAATAAGCCCTGATACTCATCAAATGCCTGACGTCGAAAAGCGAAAGTTTCCCATCGATGTAACGACGTGTTCGTGTTCTCACATTCGGCACACTGTTTGGCTCCTTTGTTTGTTTCTTAAACCGTGTTTTAGGTGCGTGTGTTGTTTTAACTAATATGCAACGGAAAGAAACTGCTCATATATCACTCTGTATCAGTTATGCAATAATGTTGCAGAGACATTGTTTCTAGAAAGAATCAATCTTAGCAGTATTTTTCTTACTTTGGTTTCATTGATGGGCTTTGAAATGTAGTTTAGAAGTATCATTCACTCAGGATTATTTAAGTTATTGTCATCTCAATGAATGGTATTCATTTTGATATATGCTTGGGTTATTACTAGTGGCGTTTTTAGTTAGCGGCAGTTTTGGTCAATAGTTAATCACAATTTTCGACTGCAACTGAAAGTATAAGTGGTTTTCAAGAAGCTGTCAAATGTGTTCGGTTCGATAGAGTATGCGGTCTGAATGCACTTTTTTGGAATCAAAACAAAGACCAAGGAGTTTTCGAGAGTGGCGAATCTAAATCTGAGGTTAGATTTTCATTTTATTAATTTTCTTATTATGAAGTATTATTAGTTTTTATTATGAATTATTTTAATTTATTATTATGAATTATTAAAGTTTTGCTATGAATTACTAATAATTCACAATAAAAACATTAAAATAAAAATTTGACCTCAGATTTGGACTCCTCACCTATGATTACCCTGCGATCAAGTTTTATGAAAAATATTCAAGATTAAGACTAATTATTGACAAAAAAATTGATAAAAAGAAAGTTTTATTCCATGTCATCTCTTTTTTCGGAACTGCGATGCAGTTAAGGCGTAGCTGCGATCGTACTGTGACCCGTAATTACGAAAAACTGCGATGCAGTTATGCATAATTGAGGTAAATCATAGTCATACATAACTGCGTCGCAGATTTTTGCAATTATGGGTCACAATGGGATCGCAGTTACGCCGTGACTGTGTTACAATTCGATCGTGATCGAACACATGGGATGATTATTTGAGAGAATGAAAGCTTAGACAAGAATAAAATATTTCCTCGCATGAATTAGAAGGTGTATAAGGCTATTCTCAGGTTGTCACAAGAATTTCGGACGAAAGAGCAGAATATAGGGATGCAAAAGTATGAATTTTATATTAATTGTGTGCGCCCTTTTGCTGCTCTAAAAACCAGATTTATACAGTGGAAAGAATAAGAAAAGTGACAACCGTACTGCTCCCTTTTCTTATTCAGCAGCTAGACGAAGTAAAAAGACTGAGGAAGTCATATAACTAATTGAGAGAATAGAATGTACCGTTGCAAACGAAGAACCAAGAGTACTATTTACGTGTGTTAACACGAGAAGTAAAAATTTAAATAGCAAAAATATAAGTCGAGTAAATGGCAGAATTTTCTGTTCGAAATTCAAGGAACGTATGACAACACAGATAGAGCATTTTGGTTAAATCTCCGTCAGGTATATAAATATAGATCATTATTCGTTTCGAAATTACATACCGGTAAAACAATATTGACAAATGACAACGAAATTATGGATAAACTTTACCGATACTACTCAGAACAATCCCAAGCACAAAGAATGAATATATCAAATTTTTCATCAGTACTAAATTAAAGCAGGATATCTAAAATTGACAAATAGACTAGCAATGCTAACTGAAAAGATAGAAAGAATAAATGTTATAGAAATAAAGAAATATATATCAAAGTAAAAACCGAAAAAATTCTCCTAGTTTTGATGAAGTATCCTATTTTATGAACAAACGAATTCCATCGACTTATACTAATTGTCTAACAAATTGCTTTAATAATTGACTAAACGAATACAGATAGTCCGATGTTTGAAAATTAGCTAAAATAGTTATATTGAATATAATAAAAGTATGAGTACCTCGTTGTGAATAGACACGGCCAATGTTATGATTAGCAACATATTGAAATCTATTTGAAAAAATTATATGCTAGATAGAGTAAAACACTGGACAGAAACTAATAATTTATTTTTAGTTGAACAATCGAGCTTTCGTCCAGATTGTCTAATTTCTATTAGACTCCTATCTATATATACATGAAGATAAAAAATAATATGACGGCTAATATTTCAACAATAGCATTTTATGTTGACTATCGAAAGGAATACGATATGGTTTGATACAAAAGATTTAGTGTTAAGTTCTATAGAACTAGTATACCTTGAGAACTATTGAAACTAACTACTTCAGAGCTAAATGATTCTCGTGCATATTTTATATTTGAAAAGAATAAATCGAAAATATTTTAAAGTCATGTTGAATTGTCTTAATGCAGTATTTTGAGTCTATATCTGTTTGTTCTATTTCATTATGATCTTATTGTATGTATAGGTACTTATTCTAGCTACATATTTGTTGATGCCCGTAACGTATTCATATTTCCATCAATATGCCGAAGAATTAAGATGTCTTCGAAATCAACAAGTAATAAAATCTTTCAAAACATTCATACAACATTTTATAAATTAAGATAAATGAAAAGTGGTAGAATTCTTATCAAAAGATCTCTTACGAAGATGTAGTTTTGCTTATAGTTTTTCATATTTTTTCTTGCATATTTCTCCTGTATTCATTCTTACTCAAAACTTAAAAATAATTACTTCTAAGAAAAATTCGAAACGGATTTTGAACTGACTCATCGCTGTTCCTTTGCTCAAGCTATAGAACTTCTCCAAATAATAAATGAAGATTCATGAGAAAAATATGTAAATATATATAAAGAAAAGATTCAAATTAATTGAAAAAATAGATTTCGGTTGCTCACCATTTTGTAAGAATATATTTCGCTCGGATGCGTTTCATAAGAGTAAATATAAATACCTTTGTGTTTTATGTTCGAATGAAAAAAGTCACAATAATGCGTAAAAACCATCAATCACTGTTTCTTTAGTTGTTTGACTATTTATGTATATGAAGTTGATCATATTATCGTTTGCATAATTATCCCCTCTGTTGGTTTTTTTCTACTTATTTTGTCATATATCCATGATTTTCTTTGTTTTTTTTTCCTATTACTTGATTTATTTTCATTAGTTTTTATCGATCAAGAATTATATCTTACAAATACGTATATTGTGTTTGTTTTTTACGCTTATATGGTTGATGGTCGTATGAGTCGAACAATTGTAAATGTTTACGGTATACCTTGTACGCATCCCACATTGTAACAATGTGGAGAGCGTAATTAAAAAAACAATTTGTTTATCGTTTCCTTGATAAAATAAGATGTTTGAAATGAAATAGTATTCGAAATGATTGTCGAATATAAAATTAACTAATTACTTTGATCTAGCTTCCATAATTTTTTTTCTTTATTAATATTTTCAAAAAAAAACGTTATTATTATTATTATTATTATTATCTGTGTCAATGTAAAATCATGAAAAAATCGATACAAACTTGAATATACGCATTACAGTTTCTTATCGTTTAAACACGCACATTTCAGCACAATATTTTCATTAAAAACTCATCTAAAATATTCTTGATAAGATGTTTTTTTTTAAGAAATCTAAGATTTAACCTTGCTATTCTACAAATAAAAATGTTCTATGCAGTTGAAAAATACAATAAGCTAATATTTTATAAAAAAAATTCTGGTATACAAAATAATTAGTTAAATAACTGATACAATGAAAATAATTATTATGAGGATAAAACATCAATTAATAAACTGTTCAATATTGAACAATCTTCTTCAGTACTACAAAGTCGATCTTAACGAATCATTTTATAATCCATAATTGTACATTGCTTATTTTCCCACAACTATAGTTGTAGTTGTCGTAGTTGTTGTCGTAGTTGTTGTTGTTGTTGTTGTTGTTGTAGTTGTTGTATCTGTTGTTGTTGTTGTAGTTGTTGTATCTGTTATAGATGTTGCATTTATAACCACAATCAAATTTTGATTACTATTGTGTAATCCAATACCCAAACCTAAACCTAATGCTAAACCTATGAGGACCAAACAACTAGCAAGTGCAACGATTATCACTAGTGCCCGTGGCGTCCAAGGGCTCCACTGTTTTACTACAAGGCCAGGGCTATGGGCTATCATGCTTCAAGTACACAAATGCTTACTAATATTACGTTGTTTATAATTGCTTGTGTTATGGCTCTAGGTTTTACCTTAATGTTTATATTTGTTGTTATTCATAATATTTTTTTGTTAATACGAAAGACAAGAAAATACTTTATGTTTACACGTGTACAAAAAATATAATGTGATAATCGTAAGAACGATAAAACGTATCATATTGATGGGTAAATATTATTCATATGAAAAATATTTTCGATATAAAATGTGCTATATTCAAATAAATAAAATACAATTTCAATGTTTTTTTATTTTCATTATTAGATAGAACATTTTTTAACATATAACTATATTGTGAAAGAATAAAAACACAATTAAAAATGGACATCTTATTTTCTTTATTCTTTATTAAAGTTTAACAGTTATTATTTAATACTTTCATATTTGTATACTGCAGCAAATTACAAACTGAAATTTCACTAGGATATTAGTTATCAAGTCTCAAACAATGTAAACATATTTGATTAATAATACATGATTGTGTAAGAAAAGATGTTAGATATATGATGGACATGTTTGATAAATTTATTCACAGATGAATATTGAAAGATTTATCATAATTTTTATGAAAACAACATTTTTAAGATCAAAATTAGTAGTTGATCTATCAAATTCAAATATAGGAATGAACGATTTGTTTTCGATTTTTAAGATGATTTTTTTTTAAAGACTCGTGAAAATATAGTTGTAGTTTTAAATAAAATATTCATTTAGGTGAAAATTCATGTCAAACTTTGATTGAAACATTAGAGTTTATCAATATGAATATGTAATGTTATTATTCTTTGGTTTTTATTTTCAAATGAGTTAACAAGAAACATCATTAAATCTTAGATCATTTTTTTTTTGTTCGCAAAGGATTCATTTTCTAATATAAATAAACGTTACTATAGATATATTTGCATTAATTTAATTATTATGAATTCATTAATGAAGACTCTTATGTAGAATTTTTGAATAATGTTTTTTCTTTTAAGAATAATATTTATGTCTATATTCAAAATGTATTTTTCCATATTGAAATATAAAATAAATCGATCAATTTCTTAGTGTCACTCGTTATCATATTACAAAATGATGAACTATATTTCTATCTGATAATGAATGAGAACATATATATGTCCTTCAATAATACTTTCTTTTGAATAGAATCTATTTATTAGCAATTAATTAATAATCCGAATTGGTATATTAAAATAAAACTAAATTGAATTAAAGAATTATATCAAAATATTGAAGAAAAATTTTAGTTCAAAAACTATTTATAGACAAAAAAATTATTTCATACCTTGTATGGTTAATTTAAATTATAGAATGATTGGTTTTTGTTTTACTGATGAAGTTTGTAAGAAAACACCGTATCGAATATATCATTACAGTAATAATAAATATTTCTATATGATTTTGATTAGAATATTATAACAACCGCTCGTGGTTAAATATTAGTTGTCTACCTGCAGTGTTGTTTCATAGAAGAACATTGATGAAATATAGTATTCAAAGATAAAATCACTTTATAGCATGTAGTCATAGATTTACTATGAATGGGTCTAATTTTATCGTGAATACGTGCTTATATTTTCAAGGACTCCATTGATAATTAAGACATATTGAATAATAATGATTATTGACAATAATCATTAATAGATGTCTTGGATTAGATATGAAAATATTTATATAAATAAAAAAAAAAGGTGAATTCTATTAATAATATTTATTTATTTTGTTGATAAAATGATGGAGTAAAATGTATTATACTACTACAATTTAGGCTATAATAATAATAATGAAGTAGAAAATAGAAATGTTGAAAGAAAAAAAATCATACTCATATACATAATGTTAAAGAGGATTTGATAAGAGCTATCGATTGATGTATGGAAATATATAATGAATATTTATAGAAGACAAACAGAAAAAAACAAATTCTTTCTAAGTCTTAGAGGATGTCAAGTTTGAAAATGTACGATATAAATTATCAACAAGCAATCACTCATATAACATTACACAGTTTCTAATCATTTTATCTGAAAATGTTTCAAATATTCAATGTATGTATGATGATCAAATATAGATGCACTCGATTAACCAAAATGAAAAGTTTTTATTATTATAATTAAGTTTATCAATTTGATAAATAGTTTTGTCATTTTTAGTATTCAAGCCATAATTTAATAATATGATTATATAGTTGTTTCTTTTATAGTCCAGATTGTTTTCTATAGATATCAATCATCTGATACATCAATCTTAATTTTCATTAACTATTATTTCTCATAGTTTATTAAAAACTAAATCTTAATAACTTATTTTAAATGAATAAATGTAATTTCTTTTAATAAAAAAACAAAAATCTCTTAAGTACATCCATTTATTGATTTAATAAATAGCAATTTCTGACTTTTCTACAACAGTATCACTTTTCGTATAGTGTAATAAATGAAAAAAGATAATTAGTTCTTTTTTTGATGGCTCATCATTTGTATCGTATTTGCAACCCATTTTTGTAAATCATCCACACGATCAACATCCTCTCTTGAAACATATGTGACAGTATCCAATGCTTTTTCAAAATGTTCTAATGCAAGTGAATATTCTTGACGTTTATAATGTACATGAGCAATATTTTCATGACAATCTGCTGTATCGATATTATATTCTGTTAAACTTTTACAACAAATATCTAATGCTTCATTTAAATATTCAAGTGCTTTTTCATGATTATTCATTTTAAGTTGTACAATACCCATTTCTTTTAAAGTTGATGCAAATGATGGATGTCCTGATGGTAATGAATTTTTTTTTGTTTGTAATACTTTTTCAAGACTTTTAAAAGCACGAACATAATTTCCATTTGCTGTATCCAATTTTGCTTTGAGACCAACAGTCATAGCTACAAGTAATGGATTATTTGTTTGTGAAGAATTAGTTAATCGTCCTGTAGCTTTTGCTTGATGTTCAGCAGCTTGTTGTTTATTTCCTGTTGCTAGATAAGCCAAACCGAGATTATAATGAGTAGCAATAACTTGAGGATTATTAGGTGAACTAGTATAAGAATAATTTTCAAGTGCTTTCTGATAATATTCAATAGCTTGTGGTAAACGACCAGTATCTTTATGAATCAAACCTAATAGATTATAAGCATTTCCAGTATCTTTATCATTATTTGAGAGTTGTTTGAGTAATGATTGAGCATAACGTTCAGCTTTATTAAAATCATTCATACGATATAGAAACCATCCAAGTGCCAATGAATTTGCTTCAGATCCAATTTGTCTCATAATATGATATGAAAGATCTCGATAGAGTTTATTTTCTTCTTGACTTAATTGTAAATGAATTTCCCATCGATCATCTTTTTTTTCAACAGATATAACTTTAAAAATAGCTCCAATTGTAAAAAGAACTTCTTCTTCTTCAGCATTACAAGAATTACCTGCAATAGGAGCAAATGGTGTTGTCTCTTCACTCATATCAAATATATCAATAATAAAAAGAACAGATTGTGTTTGTGATATTTCAGCTGATTTAGAATCAGTCTCTGCATAAATAAGTGCTATATCTATATTTAATGTTGCACTAAGAAATGTATTCATCGATACAAGTCCACTGACATTACGTAGAAGTACATTAACTTCATCGATATTTAAATGTTGACCACGATAAACAGTTAAACGATGTTCTGAAAGTGGATGATGATCTTGTAAATATTTTAAATAGAGTTGTTTAATTTGATTATTAAGATCATGAATAAAAAATCGAAATCGAAATATAATATCAATATTTTGTGTACGTAATGCTTTATTTAATAAACGATATACAAAACAATCATATGTATACCACCAAATTGCATTTGATTCTGTATATTCTTGTTCAAAACGATTTATTTTATCTTTTTCAACTTGATCTGTACGATAAACAATACGACATTCACTTATCATATCATCTTTTGAATGTTTTGATATTGGTAAACGTTGTAAAACAATAATTAATAATTGATACCACATAAATTTAGCACTATCTTCTTTTAAATCACCAATAATTTTTTGGCGATCATCAATATGAAAAATACTTATTGGTATATGAATATTTACATTACATGCATCTATATCATCACGAACTTTATTAACTAAAATTTTTTTTGATGTAAATATACCAGAAATTTTAAAATGTGGTTTTACCCATATTTCTGCTCGTTGTCGTTTAACACAAAATACATATATTGCTTGAATTTGTGGTAGTTGATATATCATTGGTACTAGATAATGACCAAATGCATTTGAAACTATTAAAAATACTAATTTCATTGATTCTGTTGTAATATAATCAATACATTGATCAGGATTATCAAATGTTTTTAATTGATTTCCAACAGCATGACGTAAAAGTGCTTTTGTATCTTCATTTTCTTGTTTTTTATTCACATCTTGATCTAACCAAATAACAACAAAATTAACATCAACATTGGAAACATCTTTTTCAGTCATATATATATATATATATATATATATATACGCAGTTATTTCAATAAAAATTTGCACTGATCGAATATATTGCTTTGGTTATTGTAAATATGTTGATTGTTTTTTTTCGTTCTTTCTTGTGCACATTTTTTTTCCTAGAAAACGAGTGAAAATATTTTTTTTGTATGAAAACTATCATATGCACAAAGTATATGGTTAACAAATCATTTCTTTTAATATATTAAAAGAAAACAAACAAAAAAAAAAAACAATACTGCTGTGCAATAATTAAATAAAATAACAAATCAACAATTATTATATAGTCACGTGAGTTTTTCTGTCGTCGGTGATGTTTTTTGTTTTAAATTCGATGTTTTTTCCATGAATGCTTCCTAGTTACAAACAAAAAAAAGGAATAAGAATTTTATATATTTTCAAAATTACTTTATCATAAATAACACGAACAACAAGTGAACAACTTGGACATCGAGCAGTATCTTCTCCACTTTCAAGTTCTTCCTAAAACAAAACCAAAAAAAAAAAAAATCATTTTTTTTTTGTTTTTTTGTTCAAATTAAATTCTTTTACTTTCGTTATTTGAAATCTATCACCACATGGACATGGCCAATAGTAAATTTCAGATTCTTCATCATATTCAAAATCTAAAGTAAACAAATAATCTAAAAAACATCTCTCAATCTTTCAAAATTTTTACCTTCTATTTCAACTTCATCATGAAAAGCCATTTGTTAAATATTTGACACATATAATAAATCTGAAATTTATATTTGTTTCACATTAAATCAAAACTAAATAAATAAAACAAAAAACTAGCACTCAACGATTTCAAAAAAATATGAGTATTAACAGACATTCAATGTGAACATTGTTGAATATATGAAGCATATTTATTGAATAATGATACAGAAAACCATAATATTTTTTTTTTGTCTAGAAATGAAATACGTACTTATTTTTCTTTAACACACAACAAATAAATAAATTAAAAAACAAAAATAAATCCTTCAAAAATTTAAACAAATTTTCAGATAAAACATAAACATGATTATTTATAAAATTGAGGATACATGCGATATTATCAAAGATTTATAATCATGTATTAATCTGAACTTTTTTTACGTCTTTTTCTTTATTCTCTTGTTCCGAAGAATCTCGTAGAAGAAATGCTGCTCCAGCTGCTGCTAGAGCTGTGGCAACTACTCCAGTCACAGCTGAAGCTCCAACAGCAATTTGTACCTAAAACAAAAATAAAAATAAGAAAAAAAAATTATTAGTTTTTTTTTATCATTTAAGTTTTAGATTATATTTTTACTTGACGACTATTAGGTTGACCATAACGACATTCTGTTACAAAATGTTCACAATTACTATATACTAAATTATAACCTTCTTGATTGAGAGCACGACGAGCTTTATCAAGAATAACTTCAACAGGCAATGGTCTAGAATATAAAATATTAAATGTTTAAATTAATAATGAAAATCTCTGATTTATTTATTTATACTGTTAAATTTAATATATCTAATAGACTAATTATTAATCAAAAAACGATAAGTATAGATTAGAATAACAGATAATCATAAACATTATAGTTACAATAATTCAGCTATGACTATCCTTATCGATGACAACATGTTGTATTAACTATTGATAAAATATAAGTTTAAACCAATGTCAAAATAATTATCTCTGAATCGATTTAACTAACTATAGGGAATCTATAGAATTCATTGAATCTTTTTTTTTTGACTATGGAATAGTGTCCTTCATGGGTACGATTTTTTGCAACTCGATCGCAACTAATCGACATTCGGCAGCTACTTGCAGTCACAGTATGATTTTCGAATTTTTATTTTATATGAAAAAGTATATTATTTAGTTTTTTTCATAAACAGCAACAAAAAGAAAGAGCTGATCTCCAATTCCATTAAAAAAAGCAAGTGATTCAGGATTTATTTAGTGTCCTTCTGCTTCTAAAACCTGATCAATTTCACTAAGCATATGTTTGCTGATGACACTAGAATAGAATATAGTGTTGATGCTAAACATCATAATTATGGATATATATATAAATACTTTTTCTATCATGATAATACATGTTTATCTTTTTGATAACTCATTTTCCTCTCCATGTATTCCATTACTTCGTTATATGGTTTATCTTTAGATGAATTTACATTAACAACGAATTCTTTTAGTAACCGATTTTCGCTTCTGCGCTGTTATATAGATAGTAGTTTGAAACAGTAAAAATATTTTAAAACATCAAAGTTTCATTCATTTCTGGGTCGGACCGAGTGCTAGATATTCGACTGGATTGCAGGACACTTATGAACAAATATAAATGCAAAGTACATATCGTTTGTTGTGATATAAATTTCATACATATATTTGTAGTCAGTCCTAATGAAATCATCTATTCTCCTGATTTGAATTTTAACGTTTAGTTTTAGAAAAATTATTTATTATAATTAACGATGCATGAGAGTCATGTTCATCACTACCAAAAGTCAATAGAGAAACTTGAAAAACTTGAATTTCTATTAGTAGCTATTAAAGTATTTTGATTAATATTACATAAGTTCAATATTGTTTTTTTTTTCTAGTCTTTGATATAAGTACATACCAACAAATAAAATCCCTATTTGTTTTAGTAGGAAAAATGAATAGACTTTACTTTATCAAAGCTTAACAATCATTTGTTCTCTTACATAAAGCTTCTATGTTAATTGGAAAACAAAAGAATTTGAAAATATTTCAATCCTATGGAAATAAAAATAATCAATAATTGTCATTGTTCAATTTTTGTCTTAATCTATTCCGATCGATAAGATTCTTAAGCCTATAATAAGTTTTTTTTTTCTTTACATACTTATATTTGTTGTCAAGATAATTATTAATCCGAACTTTACCACCCAATTTAAGTACATCAGATACATGTGATTGAAGAATTGTAGCTTTATCAAATTGTGTACCAGAAAATGTCAATAGATTTCCCCAAAAGCCAACTGATTTTCCAATACCATCATGATCACCCCATCGATGAATCACACAACTATTACCTAAATTAAAACATTATCAAATATAAATATATGAATATAAATTTAATTTACCAACATAAATTGCCCAATGACTATAAGCACCACGAATAAATTCCATCATATCACCAAGTTGAGCATTTTCAAGAACATCTTCATTTTCTTTAGATTTTTCAATTTTAACTATTGAAGCCATTTCTATTATTGTATAATATCTAAAAACAAGTATACAACAAAATACATCATTTATATTATATTTAAATGTCGAAGCAAAAAGAACAAAGTCAGTGACGAGAATTTTCTTTATGACGTATTTGAATTTCAAAAATAAATCATCATTTATGTGTAACTAAATGAATCATCAAACAATTGAATCGCTATACTAACTAACCTATCCTAATGCTTGCCATATCCTTCACCAACTCTCTCTATTTTTTTCGATAGATGCCGATAATTTTGTATAATGTTCTTAAAAAAGAACATTGACCTTAAATTCGTGTTCTATTTTATAAGTATTACCAAAAAAAGAATTCAAAGATAGTAATGACATTATCAATTAGTATTTCTTTTTTTTTTTTTCGTTTTTTTTCCTTTTCTCCCTCTAGATCTATCAGCAGCAACAGTGTTGAGTGGCAGGTCATTCAGTGATGGCATAGCATTCCAATAGTACAAATAAAAAAAGAAAAGAAGAAAGGAAAATAATGCAGAGAGAAAAAAACCAAAAAAAAAAATTACACATAGAAATAAAACAAACAAATACACACACACATATGAACTTGATTTGTGCACACGATCGAATACTCTATTCTCTTTCCATACGATTTGTTATTTGTTTTTTTTTTGTATCGAGAACCAGCTCGATTAACATTGACACATATTACCTATCTATAACTACTAAAATAAAACTTAGTCGTCATATATAAGTATTTTCATTGAAAAACGAAGAATAAAAGTTAAAATAATAGACGACGACAATGACGACAACGACCAAGATGACGATATGATAGTTATAGCTGAAGAAGAAAGAGATGTATTACTTGTATTATCGAATATCGATTCGTTGACAAATATTAATGGTGATATTATTTGTTCAGATGAAGGAGGCGGTAACGGTTTGATTTCAAAACATGGCGGTGTAGTCACAATGCCTTCAATAAATTTTGATATTGAAGGTAAAAAAAAAGAAGAAGAAGAAGAAGTTTCATTTGATATTGATGATGAAAACGAGAAAGGACGTTTTTGTGAACCATGAAATAAATGACATGTATCAAAACAGTGTGGTGGTTGACGATAATCACTCTTAGGTACAATACCTCCTAAAAGAAAAATATATATATATATATATATATATATTTAAATAATAATATTTCATTAATATCCGTTTTGTTTTTTTTGAAAACAATTATTCTAAAATCATCACTATCATTACATAAGTGAAATATTATAGTCAAGTCATCTATAACGGAAATTCTTTTTCAAGTACTCTTCTGTAAGAACATATAGTTTCATCATATGAACGAGAAATATATAAAACAATCTATTTATTACCATTGCAAACAAATAATGGTTGTCCAGCAAATAATGGTTCACGATCACTGGGTCGAAATGTAGGACAAACACGCTCGACTTCATCACAGATCGTTTGACAAGGCGGTATGCGTTGATTTTGATAATAATATGGAATTTTGATTGAACAAGCCCATGTTCGATAAGCTTTCTACAAAAAAAAAAAAAAGAATTATTTAATATATTTTATATAAACAAACAAATAGACGAAAAACAAAAAATTGAAAATTTACTTGACAATCGGCATATATAATTGAATAACGATTTTCTTCTGATGCTGAATCTATTGCTTGCATATAAGTAGCAAATAATTCTGTAGCTTTTTGAGCTTCTTTGTCGTCTATTAATATTTGATTTAATATTTGTCGACATTCGTTTTCTGTTGTTTCGTTGAAAAAATTTTCTTTGACTATTGTTTGATTTAAAATATTGAAACAAAAAGGTAAATAATGTGTATCGGTTAAATATTGTTTGATATTGTCGAATTTTTCGAATGGTGTTTTTCGTGTACGACATGTTTTTGAACATATTCGATCGATTTGTAATGTATTTATTGGTAAACATTGTTGTTCGTCCTCTTTTAATAATATTCTTGTTGTGGACGGCGTTAATAATGGACGTTTTGTTATTGTTTGATTTGTTGATGTTACAATTGATGTTGCTGTTGTTGTTGTTGTAGTTGTTATTGTTGTAGCAGCGTATGTTGACATGATTTTTATGGATGATAATGATAAAAATATGAGTGGCCAATGAAGATGATTGGTTAGGATAAGCAATGTTAGCATGTAGGTGAGCAAATGCTTCACCAAACATTGCTGCGGTCGACAACGACGCCGCTGGCGATGTTGTCGATAATATTTATTAGATTTATCGAATATCGATAAAGAGGATTTGACAAAAGAAAATGTTTTTACTGATGATGATAAATCGTATTCAAGTTCTTTTAACTGTTTATAAATATATTCTTGTTGATTAGTTATTGAATAATTTCGAATATCATCGTCAACATCATCAGTGACGAGAAGCACAGACATGGCACAATGCCGCCTTGTGCATGGTTAGCCTATTAGACAAAAAAAAAAGAAAAAGAAACACATACAAGATTAATTCGTATTATTAAAAAAAAAAACCAATCGTTCTATTTTTAGTCTTGATATTTTCAGATATAGATATTACGAAGATAATGATGTATCATCAAACGATTGATATTATAAAATAGAGTTTTGCTTTTTTTTTTTTGCACGATAAGTAGTAATGATGGGTTAGATTATACTGTTTTAATTTATTACGCATATAAAAAAGAAACGAAGATACTTGATAGTGTTTAAAATGCTCGAAGAAATTTTTGACACATTATTTTATCTTAACATATAAATATGTATCCCGAAGCTATAGATTTCTTATCTTAGACAGGCATTAATCCTGCATATATAATCTAAAGCAAATGTTATTTATTAATTTTAATTCATCAATGAAAAGTTCTTTGGATTAAATTATTTTAATGTAACTTAATAATTTCAGTTGAGAAGGTCTTATACCACTTGTATTTAATATCTTGAGTGAGTGGATGATTAAAAAAGAATGATCCGTGATTTTCAAATAAGTCTGTCATATCTTTCTCTTTTTCTATGTTTAATTGATGAAAAAATGTCATTCTATAAATAAATGAGAAAATCTCGTGACAAATTCATATATTCTATTCTAAACGTTCATCAACATAGGATCTTATTAACAAAAGAAGAAAAAAAACCTATGGTTTTTTTATAAAAAAAAAAAAAGAATATCAATATTATTCTATTTAATTTATTAAATTAAAAATGTAAAAAACGATTTTCTTAAAGATAATTTTAATAAATCTCGACCAAAATATGTTTCCTGTCACAAACTTTTGCTGAAAAGTTTTTCTTTATAGATGTCACTAATTTATTTAATATTTAATTAACGCATGATAGAATAGAAAAGATGTTTTCTTTATAACGATAAAGAGAAAAACAAAATTTATCTTATTCAAGAAAAGAAGAGAAAAAAAAAAGCTTTTATCTAAATATCGAAGAAAGTTATTGCCTAGAATCAATTTTAAAAGAAGAACTATAGGATTTTGTTATTAGACGTATCCGGTAATCTTTGCTTTCAGGATGTGAATATTCACCACATAGTGACTATACGACTTATTAATATATAGAAGGCTTTTTTTTTTATTTCTTAATAATAATTACAACTGTATCATTTTCGAGTTATTTTTCTTTAAAGACAAAAGAAAATTAATATTTATAACGATTGATATTTAGAAAAAAAATATATTTAACTAATAGAATAAAATTATCTATTAAAACAATGGGATCCATATGAATTTTTATTATATTATTTTACCGTTTATCGGTTTGGTAGTGAAAATTTGTAATTGTTGTTGTTGTTGTTGAATATCTTGTTGTTGAGCATCCATCTGCAATCACCGATGTCATCGAACCGCTCAACGTTTTGTTTTTATATATATATATATATATATAAACCTATTGTTTCCAACCGAATATCTTATCTAGAATAAATTAGAAACAAAAAAAAAAAATATGAAACAAAAACTTTAAATACAACATTGGTAGAAAGATCTGTGTAACTCTCTTTTTTTTTCTCTTCTAAGTGTATGTATTTGATCACCATCAAGTCAAGCTTCAATTACTACACATACACACGCACACATAGTCGTCTTCGTTGCACACGACGGGAGCCAAATTGCAGAAACGCGTTTTCTCTCTCTCTGTTGTAGCCAACACTACCGCTGTTACTGCTTCTACTGCTATCGTCTCTATTATTATTTCTTTTGCGCTCTCTTGGCTCTGCATCCTTTTCTTTTCCATTCTATCCATGTAGTGGTCCTAGCTGCCACGACGACCGGGTTTTCTTTTCTTTTTTTTTCTCGTTTTCTCTGTCATTCTCTTGCTTTTTTTTCTGTCGATGTTAATGTTGCTTTCTATCAGCAAACACACTGCTTTGCTGACTGGCTGCTACAAGAAGGAGCACGACGATGAACGAACATTTCGCGTCATCGCATGGAAAAGAAAGAAATAGAGAGAGAGACAGAGAGACAAGAAGGCTACCGCGGCGTTCTTTCTCCCGACATAAAAGCCCGATCGTTCTGGTGCTCTGTCTCTATGATTAATCTATTTCAGACATTGGGCCTATTTCCTTTTCCTCATTCTATCTCCTCCTTTTCTCGTTGCCATTTCAAACTGGACATAAACAGAAAATTCTCATCAGTTGATCGAATCATAATAGAATATCAAAGGTCATATAAATGTTTATGAATAGGTGCAAACATATTAAAATACTTTTAAAATAAAGATATATGAGAATAACAAAAAATAGCAATAAGAACAATAATAGACGAAACAAAAGATATAGATACATACATGCAGAGGCAATACAGCTCAGTGCGATCATTGGATATTCTCTAGGGACTAACATCACATTCACCATTGCTGCTGCCTTCATCATCGTCTCACTCAAGCCTTCAAACTCCTTGACATGTTCTTCGTTCGCTCTCGTCGACGTTGCGTTCCCCTCGGTCTGTCTCTGTCTCTGTCTCTCTTCTTCTCCTCCATTATGCTCGCTGCGCTCGTGCCTCGTTCACTCTCATCATCCGTCTTTCTTCAGAAAGCGAGTAAGAGGGAGAGAGAGAGAGAGAGGGAAAACTACAATGACGACGAGAACGATAATTCTACTCAAGAGAAAACGCAATGGTTCGGAAGCTGAAATCGAGACACAACACCAAGAAAAGACAGACGTCACTTGCTCCTTTAAAAATTCTTTTTTCTTTGACCAAAAAAGAACTATTTTAACAAAAAACATGATTATATATATATATTCATATCTTTTTCTTACTAATATATGAATATTATCTTTATTGTTTTTTTAATTTTCAAAAAATAATTAATAATCGAAATAAAAGAAATAAAAAAATTTTCTTTTCTCTTCTAAATAAGACATATTTATCAATGACTCTTTTATCTTATATCAAATGGCCTTGTTTTCTTCAAAAACATAAGCAATAGTAAAATTAGACTATATACTAGTAGTAGCATGTTTTATGTATTACAAAGAACAAAAATAGCTAAAAAAGGGGACGAATGATCAGCAGCATGACAAGTTCTATTTCCGATTCACACCAACTCATACATCTATCGTGTAAGTCGACAACCTTGTATAAAGAAATAAAAAAAGTGACAGGGTACGCACATGCAATGCCTACAGTATTACGCTTTCTCTCATTCTCATGGCTAATGTACGCGTTTAATCGAACAATAAAAGTCATCGAAAAGTAATTTTCATGACATAATCTATATTTTGGTACAATCTTTGTTTTAAATATTTGCATAGATGGGTATATATATATATATATATATATATATATATATATACTTTAACGAAAGAGAATTAATAAAAATAAACATTAAAAATTTATTAATTCTATATTTCTTTACTTCCTAATTATAGAATAAATATAAACGGAAAAAAAAAAACAAAACAATAAAAAAATTTATCTATTGATATGAACATCTTTTTTTCTAGATTTTCGTTTATATATATAATTAATTGTATTTAGGTAACTTTTTTATTGATTATGCTAAAAATAAATTTTCAATTCTAACATGATAAAATGCTAACTTGCATACTTTACCGTTCAACCACAAAATGACAGCTTGTATGTTTTCCTTTATTTTTTTATAGCATTCTTTTCTTCGCAACACTAACACCCACAATCATTCTTCGTTTCTATTGGTATGTCTATTGTTTAGACGGTGTTCTCTATCATTTCACAATTTGCTATCCTGTCATATTGTGTCCCGTGTGTGCCATTGTCAATCTCACTCAAACAAGCAGTCAACCAACATCGATTATGAAATCTTGGAGACATTTAGATGTTCTCTCTAGACTAGATACTAAAAAACATTTCATATTGATATAATACAGAAAACGTATCGTACAAAATAACACGTCCTCACCCACACAAATAATTCATCCATCCATTCGTCGATCTATCTATATTGTCGGTTTTTTTTTTGAAGATGATGCAGTAACCAACTGTCGACAAGAGTGATGACAGACTCGTGATTCGCATTTTCCAGAAATGTGTATCTGTCTTAATATGCATAAGTTAAAACGAGAAGATGGTAAAATCAACTATCTATCTCTATACATGTATTATATATTTATGTTTGTCGGAGTAGAATTTCCTTTTCTCTGTTCCGGCCAATATCGAGGAGCTAATTGTCTTTACTGCCGTGTGCAATGAAGTAATATTATTCTATAACATCAACAACAGTAACAATAACAGCATGAGGCGATGTTTCTGTCTTTTTCTTTTTTTCATCTTCATCTTTTTCTTCTTCTTATAGATTTCCTCTTTTTATTCTCAACCATCACTGAAGTTCTTTTAAAACAAAGTAGCAAATTTATTCATCGATTTATAAGAATAGATAAACATCAATAGAGCAAGATCTTTTCTTTTGTTTTTTTACCTGTTCGTAGAATATACAAGTCACGTCTCGTACATAGATAAACAAATATATATATATATATATATATATATATATATTATGTGCGTGTCTAATGCTGACAGCAATTGGAAATAAGCTAACTTCGTCTTATGATTGCCACACCAAATGGTTTTTATTTCCTCTTTTTTCATTTTCTGTATATTTCTCATCGCGAG